CCATAGGAGAAAAATGACTAGGTTCATTTTCATTCAATACGATTCGAGTAGCCCATGGATCCGAACATTATGGAAACTTGACTGCAACACATGTTTTACTTCATAATCTAAGGTCTGTTATTCCTGAAAGTTCCAACTTTCTTGGACGAACCATTCACGAGATATTCGGAAAAGTTAGGGTGCCAAACATGAAATTTGTAAAAATTCATTTTTGCAAAAAGATCGATTAATTTCACCACGACGTGTGTGCGTCACAAGCTGATTTTTATGCCAGGTTGTAGATCAAAGTGGGGTCTTTCATGTTGTATAGGTGAGTAAAAAAGTTGGTGTTTGTTTTGGGAGAAAATCGAGGTCAAAAATCCACTTTTTGGCAAAAAATTGATTTTTTTTAAGTTGCTCTGCAGGAATACTTTGCTCTAGAGAGCTGAAATTTATATGGTAGTTAGGGAGCATCAAGATATGCTTGTGTTCAAAGTTTCAGGTCCATATCATTTTCTAATCGGGAGATATGAACAGCGAAAATTGGTCAAAAAAGTAATTTTTCCTCAAATTGTGGAATCCATAAAATACCAACCACTCATTTGTTTGAGCTGAAATTTATGGTACATATAGAACTTAGTTAGTTACTGATTTACAAAAAATTTCAACTCAAACGATTGATGTTTTGTTGATTTTCTGGAGTGTCCAAAATCGTTCCTCGTGAAAGTGCGTTTTATAACGATTTATAGTGCTTTCAGTAAAACTGTGATAAAAAACGAACGATTGAATATTTTTCGAAGCGGCTTTCACCAAAAGTCATCAAACACTTGCCTCTATCACATATGTAAAAATGAGCCAAATCGAAGAATATCGATTGAGCACTTTCGGTCGTGGCTTACGTGGAATGGCTCTTATAGGAAAGTAATGATATTTTATAAAGGCTGGCGATAGTAAATCGAGGCCTGAGAATCCGAATCTGAAGTCAGTTTTTCAAAATATCCAATTGAATTTTTTCGAGAAAAGAAAAGACTTTTTAGAAAAAATATGATATTTTATAAAGGTTGACGAAAGTAAATCGAGGTCGGAGAATCCGAATCAGAAGTCGGCTTTTGACAATTTTGAGTTTTAGTTTTTCACATAGAATATTTTTGAAGGATAAAGTGTTCCAGAAAAAAAAATGACTTTCAAGGAGCGGTTTAGTCTATGGAAGAGAAAATGGAAAATCTCAAGGATTTGATCTCAGATTCGGATTCTCCGAGTTCGATTTACTTTCGTCAACCTTTATAAAAATATCATTATTTTGTTAAAAAATGCTGTTTTTCTTGACGATCGATTTCAACCAATACCTGTACCTCCGATTATCGTCACCGTTACATCCCTAGTTCTGACCGATTCCGGTCTCGGTTCCAATCGGTTCTGACCGGTTCCAGTCGGTTCCGGTTTCGGTTCTTATAGGTTCCGACCGGTTCTGGTTTCGGTTGCAATCGGTTCTTATCGGTTTCGGTTTCGGTTCTTATCGGTTCTAATCGGTTCCGGATTTGGTTCCACCGGTTTCGGTTCCAGAACCGGAACCGGCATCGGTTAAAACCGGAACCGGTGCATCCCTATGCCAATGTGCGGAGAATTTAATTCTTTATCTTTGGGAATTACTTAAGTAAAATCAAGATCTTATCTTTTATCTAAACTGCTGTATATGCAAAGCACAAAATGTTGCAAAACTGTTACAACACACGGTATGTGAGTCATTAGATAACGCTGTCTCATATATAAAGACGTGAAAAGAACTTACTTTTGAAATAGTTACTCAATGGAAAAAGACGAACAACAAATGATGTCGGATAACAATAGAAATTATGATAATTGTCTAAATGCAAGACATTGTGTAATAATCGATGGTAATTTTGGTCGACATGAATTGTTTGTTAATATCCATCCGTATACCTTAAATCAAATTGCAGAAGTACGCAATGCTTCTTTATATAAAACACGTGTTAATCAAGCTATGAATTTTATGGATGATGCATCAAATATTCACTATCATATCTTTTACAATTCATCTTGTATGGAAATTGATGAATATTACAAGGCATTGAAAGGAATCTATCCCGAAAGTGTATGGTTACATTCATCAGTACAAATGACAGTAGATGAATATAATAATGGAGATAGTATTCGAAAATTTATAGCAGTCAAATCTCAATATGAATGTAATTATATATGGATTATACACGGAATTGAAAATTATTATGAAGAACTAATTGAACAATTAAAATTTAATAATAATTCTAAAGCAATTATTGCTAGTTACTCTTGGTTAGAAAATTTAAAAGATGGTTCAAATCGTATTGAATATTTAATTGAGTAAGTTGTTTGATGTGTATATACCATTGGAAAAATACTACTTATTTCTATTTTAGTAATAAGATAATGAATCTAAGTGAATATCAAATTGAACGATTAACAGATCAGTCAAATTTGAATGAACCAATAGAAATAACCACAAAATCTAAGAAACAAATGAGAAAACTGAAGAACAGAATAATATGTAGTTTTGATGATTGTAAGAAACGTTTTAAGAGTGTGAATGCTTTACAAAATCATTATTTTTCTAAACATCCAACTACTCAGCCATATATAAACTACGAAGTAACAACGACATCAACGTCTACGGAAGAAAACTTAAAGAAAAATGCCAAAACTCAAACAATACCATGTGATTATGATGATTGTGAACAATTATTCGAGAAACTTCAAACTTTATCAAGGCATCAAATAAAAACTCACCCAATTTGGATTCGATGTCCATTTAGTGAAGAATGCTTAAGTTCAAACGAAAGATATTTAGGTTTAGATGAGTTATTAAGTCATATTCTATCTGAGCATACAGATTCATTTCCACAACCAATCTGTCCTATTGCTAAGTGTCGACGTGAAAAATACTGGCGCAATTGGTTTTCTGTACTACAACATATTCTAGGAAAACATACAGAATATTTATTAAAGTAAGTTCTTTTTTTAGGCGTTTTTCTTAACTTCAATTGTTCATCATTTATTCAATTTATGCTAGTGAATCTATTCCGAGCATAAGCGAACAGCAATCAATAAAGTCTGATATGAATGCTAGTTCAGAGCAAACAACACCCACGACAAATGGCATTCCATCTTGGGTATTAGACGATCCGCTAACATGTTCATATAATGATTATCATCGATCGTATCGAGATGAAGAAGCTTTGAAACGACATGAAGCATATGAGCATCCCGTTCCGCTTCAATGTCCATTTACTTTAGAATGTCAACAGTCAAGAAAAAAATATTTTGGTTTATGGAATTTACGCAAGCATATCTATTCAAAACATGCACCAATGTTTTCTCAACCCATATGCTTTGATTCTGAATGTAAATGGAAAGAAAACAAACCATTCCAAAGTTGGAATCGTGTATTGAAGCATATCTTAGAAAGACATTTGGAAGCTGTTGGAATCATTGTAAAGTCGGCAACATCATCATCAACAAAGGATAAACACAAAATATTTAAGAAATGTAGTTATGATAATTGTGTTCAATTGTTTAAAACAAGAGAAACGTTTCAATATCATCTAGTTACATGCCATCCATTTCCTCTTCGGTGTCCATACGATTCTAAACATAATAAACTCATTCAGGACGCTAAGATTTATTTAGAATTAATGGACTTAGAAAGACATATTAAGATCGAACATTCACAAGAATTTCAAGAACAACTATGTTTTAATAATAACTGTCAAAAGGAGAAACACTTTCAAGATTGGAGTACATTAATGAATCATATTTTAATAAAGCATTGGCCAGATATTAGATCAAACTGATGGAACGTTTTTTTTATTCGTACTTAGAATCATGTAATATATTATTGACATTTTTATACAATTTTTTCTGTTCAAATAAACTGGACAATGGCTTTTTAATAGTAATTTTCTCCTCTGCATGTTCACTTGTCGACAGCCCACACCCACACTACAATTATACGTTGAACGTAGATCTCACTCAAACATACACGATTTATATCTATGTAATTTTATTAAAAGTAATAAAGCGTGAAAAATTGAACATTATACTTTATCCGAGATGGCATTCAATGTTCAATACAAAAAGCTAAACTGCATATGCTAGATACAAGAGCCCAATTTCAAATTAATTCTTAACCAAAACTAACTCATATTAATGAATATCAATATGAAATAACAACGAAAAGGAAATGTTTTCATCATATATGTCGATATAAATCGGGCAGACAGGTTCAGAAATATCCAGTGGAGTCACAACAAGACAAGATTGTTTACAGCATAGGTCTTAATTTCGTTTTCTTTCGTCGGCATTATCCAAAATTTGGACTTTTCAATGAAATTTATGCGTACCCTCACTGAAGTTTAGCTCAATAACACAATACATTACAGTTCAAAGTTACCTGTACTTTCATCGAGGCTGTGGCTGTGGCTGTGTGGGGTGTGGGTGTGATACAGGTGTGGCGTCAGTGTGGGTGCGGGTTAAAAGGAAATCCATAACCAAATGTCCACATCTAGACCCACACCCACACCCGCACTCACACGAACACGCACACCTACACCCACTCATATTCACACCCGCAATTTTTCACTATTGTGAGTCTAGTATCTCATAGAAGACATCATCTCGGAACTCTGAGTCTATGGCAACTTTTGCTCTTCTCATCAAGATCTGCCTGTTCTAAAAATTTGACAACTTTGTGATAACCTATTCTTCAGAAACTCTAGAAAGGAGGACGGATACTCGTAAGTTAAAAATAAGCTATTTGGGAGAAGAGTTTGACTTGAGGCTACATGATCAATGAAAAGCCTCGAAACGTTGAAAAACTGGTCATCTGATTTTCGATCAGTTCCTAAGATGTAAAAACTAGAACGGATCATGCATGTGTGTCTGTGATGTCAAGTGATGTTCTCGTACTGTAAACTTTTAAAATAATGTAATCATAAAGCAAATGATGCAGATTATAATCATGAGTCCAATTTACCAGAAAACATTCAAAGTGTATTTTTTCAGGTTGAATCGTCGAAATAGTAACTGATATCGATCAGCCTGTAAGAAAAATTTATGAAGAAGAAATTTTTTGTTATGTATCGAGTCACAAAATTATAGGACGTTCGTTCCACTTATGGGTTCAAGACTTTATGCTATCTATTGGAAGTAATAGTAGTGATATGCTGTTTTTATGTTTATATAGAGATTACTATCTACCGTAGTATTTGTGTACTATTGAATGTTTATGTTAGAACTTTATTTATGAGATCTTTGATAGAAACAAAAAGACTAATTGTCTTGAAAATTTGAGAACATTCCAAAATATGTTTCTTTGACATTCCTAAGTCAATCATTTCCGTGACTAGATCCATGAATTTCGGTCAAAAATAACCTGTCTTTCTTGATGTAGGCCATCATAGTTTTTAGATCAGCCATATCGATCGGGTAGTTGACCAGTCGCACATACATATGTCAGTGGTTACCTATTCTTCAATGCCGTTTCAATATATGTCATCATTGTAGTTTAGTCATAGCTCTTTGTTCGTGAGCAATTTAATGTCAGAAAAACGTTCACACGATTAAGCATGATAACATGACAAAACTCAAGATGCATACTCACGATTGCTTCCAGTGTTGTTAATAGAACATGAGTACTCCTCCTTTGAGAGTTTGTTCTGATTTCTAAACATATTTTAACGTATAGTGGAAATGCGCAAATATTTAATACATGAATGAGTCATACTTTTCGAATTCAAAACTTAGGCTTTTCATAAAATGAACCGAAAAGCTGTTAGTATGGATACAAAATCAAACTAGTCAAATATTTAATGAACGACATAATATTTCAATAAGATTTGACGTAGGTCGGTCTGCAAAGTTTATTAAAAGACAAAAACGTGCAATTAAAAAGAATAATAAGAGGAAGCATTGTTAGTCGGATACTTAATGAATTCGATAGGATGATTTCTGTTGCGTCTAGGAAGTCAAGAATAGATCGAATCTAATGAAAACAACGAATTAGTTGGTACTGATAACATCTGCATTGGTCATATAATGATTAACCATAAGTAAGTTTTAGTAATGAGTGTACCTTTGAATTAGTGAACAATAAATAAAATAAACTCTACGTACATCGTTATTGACATGATTAACATCGTTATGAACCATCATAACCTGATACACATAAAAGTGGTGATTTAGGTATGTGGGATTGTTTAACGCACTATAAATGAAGCAATTTAGTACTTTATGAAAACAATATAAATCCATCTAAATAAATTGGAATATCTAAGGCTAATCTGCCGTCGGTATTTAAGTTATAACCAGCTGTATGCTATCGAGGCAAACTCTTTCAACATGATAATGCAAGATAACACGTGTCGACGAAAACAAAAGTATGCTTGAGAGAAAAGTCGAATAAATACATTTTCATGACCACCAAACTTGTCGAATATAAGCCTAAATAAATAATTACTAAAATATTTCATAACAAACACCGAACGACATAACAATGCTTTGATCAAACTCCAATTTTTGAGATAGTGAATTTCTTTGTTTCTATAACATTTCTCACTAATACAGTTAAGAACAGAAATAATGAACAATAGAAAGAGATATTAGATAGTAATCTCTATATAAACATAAAAACAGCAGACCAGTAATATTATTTTCGATCAATAGAGCCAAGGATTGCAGTCAAAAATGGAAAAAGTGTCCTATAATTCTGCGAACCCCTGTATTTCTATTGACGAATTTTTATTGAGAATATGAATTTTTAAAAAAGAAAATCGCGATTTATGAAAATATCCATTCAGTGGCGATAAACTTGTTGCTGATTTTTTCGGTTTCGATTATGGTTTTTGTTAGTTTCAACTGCTTGTCGGCTAGCTAGTTTTATATTGCTTCTTTCTTGGTCGAGTTGAGCAACATGTGTTGCGGCACTTGTCGCCCAGATTCGCTTCGATGTCCATCGATTATGTATATCCTGAACATTACTTTCCAAACGTTCTTTAGCTGCTTGACGTTGCTCAACATCAGCGGTAAGGTCTGTGTGACGACGGTTTTTTTCATTATAAACTTGCTGTTTCTCTTGCACTTGACTGGATAGTTGTTCAAGGCGTTCAGCTGTTTGATGAAGACGTTGTTGACTATCGACTACTTGACGTTCTACTAACTAAAAAAAATGATATCTTCAATAAAGTTTCAACAAGAATAATAACTCAATATTTGACCTGTTTAGCGATTTCTCGTTCTCGTCTGGCTTGTACTGTTTGTGACATATTCGTTTCGTTTTCTTTTAAATTTTGTTCGTTTTCTCGAATTTGTCCTTTGACTCGTTCAACATGGGCTGCACGTTCATCTCGCTGTGATTTGAGTTGATCTTTCTGTTGTTCCTTTGTGTATAAATCAGCTTTGGCTTTCTCTACTTCATTACTCTTTTGCATCATATCTCCATTTTGTCGGTCCAATTGATTTTTGAAGTCTTGTAATTGTTGACTAAGTTGTTGCTTTTGTTGTTGGACTGTTTCAACTTTTGCTTTGAGTTGTTGATGTTCTACAGTGAGCTGTTGACTTTTGCCTTGTTCAGTTCGAAGCATGTTTTCTTGCTCTCTCTTCTCAGTTTCCAATTCTGATTTTGTCTGGTTGGCTAATTTAAGATCTTGATCAATAATTATTCCTTTATTTTTAGCCTGTAGTGCTTCGCCTTCTTTGGCAGCATATTCAGCTTGTTTCATTTCAGTCTGTTGTTGTTTTTGAGCGACTGAGGATTGTAGCTCTTGAACACCTTGCTGTGTAGCTGTAAGCTGTTGGTTCGTCGTTTTAAGAGTGGCATCCGCCGTTTGCTCTTTAGTTTGAGCATTTCTCAATTCATTTTCTGCAGTGACAAGTGCTTGTTGTGTTTGTGTTTGATTTCGTTCTAGATCAGCTGCTTCTCGTTTTAACTGTTCAACATGTTCAGTTTGGTTTTTGACTTGGGCTTCAGCCTCATGAACTTCATTTGTTTTCATTGTTTGCTGTTCTTTAGCTTCAGCAAGTTTACGTTCAAGTTCGGCATGATCGGTAGTTGCTTTCTCCACGACTTTTTGTTGACGCTCAACTTGCTGTTGAGCAGCATTTTTAGTTGCTATCTGTTGTTTCAACTCATTTTGTTTCGTTAAAAGTTCTCGTTTCTCTTCAGCAACTTTCGTATGTGCCGTTCGCTTTTGCTCTAGTGCGGTCTGATGCAGTTGAAAAGCTTGCTCACGCTTGATTGACAGTTGCGACAGTTTCGATTCTGCATTATTTACTTTTACATGTAGAGCAATAGTAGCAGCAGTGGCTGCTGCAACTGCAGCCGTCGCTCCAACTGCTGCAACCGTACCAAATAGTGGGATGGCCAATGCTGTTGCAAGAGCCATTTCAGCAATATGAAGTGACGTTTCAGCAATTTGCAGTTGGTTTTTGGCTGAATTCAAGTCAGCCTGTGCTCTTTTTTCTTCACGCATCGCCTCGTCTAATGCTCGTTTTTTCTCACTCTCCTCTTGATCACATTTATTGGCTTCATCTTGAGCTTCTTTTAAAGCAGTTTCTTGATTTTCGACCTCCTTTTTCTTTTCTAACTCAGTTGCTTCTTCTTGACGAAGTGTTTCAGTATATTGATTGTGTAATTCAATAGCAGCATCGAGTTCACTTTTGGCTTGCGTTAGTGCTTGTTCAAGTCTATTCACAGTATCGGTTATCTGTTGAAGTTCAGCCTGTTTTTGAGCGAGTGTTGCTTCTAGTTGAGTTTTCTTTTGTTCACCTTCAGCTAATTCAGCTTGTTTTGCTTGCAATTGTTGCGTAAGTTGATCGAGTTCGCCTCGAAGACGTGTTGTTTCTGCTTCGGCAAGTTTTACTGCTTCCCTGAATGGAATCAAATACAATTGTATAAAAGAAAATGTCCACATATTTTTGAACGACAACGATGAAGATATATGCTGGATTGCTAGTAATGTTTCTTTGATAGAAGTCCTTTTTATTAGGAATTTTGACTACGAAAAGACATGTTATTTAGAACATGTCGAAATGAAAATAATCAATAGTTTCGAGAATACTTAAATTTGGGTCATTGAGAAAATTGAAGACTTGACTGACTCGGATGCGAGAGTTCAATATGTTGTGGTGTCTTCTATCACATAAAACGAACTCATGAAAGAATGAAAAATAAAATAATTCTATATCTATCAAATAAACGATTCGTAATTTCGTCCTATATATTGTAGGTGCTCGCAATTGAAAATTCAGTTCAAAACTTTCTACTTTTCTTCATATAAATTTAACTTCGGCATGATAAATATATCACAACTTGCTGACTACATTCATAGATGAGCTCTTCACATTATGATCAAGCATATTGATTTCTTCAATTACTATAACAGTTTGGATCCAAGTGAATTTTCTATACGATCGTTTATACGTTATAAAAAAATCTATCATTCATAACAAGAAAGCTCACTCAAAGTACATATTTTTGTACATACGTTGCTTGTTGAAGTTCATTCTGTGCTTGACGAACTTGTTCTTCCAACTGATTGACTTCATTTGTCAATTGAGTCAATCTATCTTGTAACATTTTCAATTCTCCATTGAGTGCTTCGAGAGCTGCTTTCAACTGTTGAACTTCGGCTTCAGCAGCTCTCTGTTCATTTTCAACCATTTGTTTTTCTTGAGTTTTTTGATTGATTTGTTCAGTTACTTCTCGTTCTTTATTTCCCACCTAGACATGAAATTTACAATACGTTACATTTATTTCGACTACACCCACACCCTCGTGAACACAACAAACTAGGACAACATTAAATCGAATGAATATGGATCAAACCTCGAAAGGTTAAACTCAAAGGAATAAAAAAAACAGTAAAATATCGAACAAGAATGATGAAAAAGTATATAATCTCTCGTGATGCGTCGTTTCTTCGACATAATATTAAGTGATGAAGGTCAAAATTGATATATAAAAGAAGATGTGGACTGTTCAAGCTCAAATCAATATCCTAGATAATTGATTCTAGAATGAATAGATCGATCTAGATGAAAATCATCACGTGCTCTCGTTATTAATTGATGAGAAAAAGTGAACTTTTCGATGGGTTTATCAATTTTTTTGTGTTACTCTCATTTTTCTGGTAAATGAAATAAATTGATTAGTGTTTTCAAGATTTTCAAGTACCTTTTTTTGTCTTCAAATTTTGAGACAATACAAATGTACCAATAATTTCATGAATCATTTTCATTGAATAATTGAAAGTATGCCTGCATCAAAATAATGTTTCGTTTCTTTTGTTATATATATTCATCGAACATGATTATCAATTTAATATTTAGTCGAAATGAAAAAAAAAAACTACCACTATTCATCTATGCTATAACTATAATCAGAGGCGGCGGAGCGATTTCAATCTAGGGTAGGCTCAACTTTTCAGTATAACCACCTCTCGATAGCGGATTGAAAAGCGATTTTTATTTGTTTATAATAAAAACTACTATAGATTTTCGTAAACTCCTCCTCTGGCAGAGGAGACCCTCCCTAATTAGAGGGTGCTCCGGAGGATACG